TCATACTCAAATCCCTTTTGTTTCATTGGCGTAGAAATTTTAATTGTGCATTTTATGAAAAAAGTTAACTTTATACTGAGGCTTATTTTGATCTAAGAAATAAGTTGCTGATCCCCTTGCCAAGAAGACAGCCAAACAAATACTTTTAGACCTGGCCCTTTGATTGGACTGACAACATCGGTAGTGACAGGCCTAATTAAGGAACGCTCCCTTGTGAAATGCAAGGAAAGGTGGGATGAAACAAGAAGCTGCAAACTTGCCAGGGAGCTTTTAAGTTATCCTGCCAACACTACAGCGAACTAATACTTGACTATGACTACACAGAATCTGCACCTGATCACAGGCATTCTGATTAGACATTGCCAACTACGAAAGCATCTTCATATCATGGGGTTATCAGAATTAACACTGTGCAGGGGGTGCGAATAAGAGGATGAGACTATCAAGAATATCCTCTACAAATGCCCAACGCTCTCATTTATTAGAAGATATAAGAGAAGCATCTCTTGGCGACGTTGCCAACTACATTAAATTTGTAAGCTAGCTCATGAGCTAAGAGGAGCCTATCTATTTAGGAGGATGCACAAAGGACCTAGTGAGTTCTAAGTGCCGTAGGTTAATTCACACTCCACACGTTAGATATTCAGAGATGTGGCGTGTTTTTGGAAGGACATTTTACAATATTTGCAACTCTTTCTGACTTATTTATTTAAATATTTATTTATCCATTCAATGTAATCACTCACTCCTTTTGCTAAGTGTATTGCTAGTTGCCTATAATACAGTCGAGTGTAATTATAATAATGAAATACCGAAAAAATAGACAATAATTTAATGCCAGGAATATGTGAAGAATGCTGCCAGAGGTGCCGTAAAAGCAATTATTGCAATATACGCCCGCCACTGAAGAACACCCCTTGTCCCGTAATCTCCAAAAACTCCAAAATTTGGCGCAATAACATATGACAGTATTCTTCACAAATTATATTACCTATTATTTCATTATTCACTAGTAACTTATTTCATTTTACTAGTTAACACGAGTTAAGTTAAATCTTGTACATACTCGTATGCAATAATTGTCAAGGGTGGCTTTAAGCAGAATTTTTTCTTTTTAGCATTTTTTTTTAATAAAAGACTCGTGGTTTGTAAAAATTTTAAGCTCAAAGGGTTGAAGGAGGGGACATGACCCCTATGTCCCCTCCTGGAGCCACCCTGGTTAATAGTCCAGTCTAGGACCTGGAAGATAGCATAGTTTTTTCTTTAAAGATGTATTTGGAGTAGTTAAAGTATTAAAATTCTCGAATAAAACAACAAGGCTAAGGGGAGAAGAGCTTTAGACTTTAACTATACCTTGCTAAACAGCAATCTTCACTTTTACGGTAAATTCTTAACGATAGAAGTTGTATAGCAGTAAATTTTTTTGAAAATAATCAAATCTCCAAACTTGGATTCTCAGAATCACTACTATCCTTACTAAGGCTAATTACTCCCAAAGTTCGTCTGCTTCTATCACGTGGCCAATATCTTTAGGTCTCTGTTTGGCCTCTGTCTTACGTCTACATAGAAAAGCAGCTTTTTGCAATAACTTTTGTTAAATAATAATGATCTATTAAAAGACATTTAGACTGTGAGTGACCATTTCCATTATTCGACAATTTCGCTTTACTCATGCGGGAAAAAGGCGCGGAACTTTTGCATTTAGTATTTTTCCAAACACTTTCGGCTAAATCTTTCTAATCTTCGCCTTACAACTGTTGGGTTGGCTATGACGATTACCCCATGTCATAGTTACTTTAAACAACAGAAGGCTAAATTATAAATGTATCGTTAATTCTAACTCTGCAGAAGATGAAAATATTTTGTTGCAGTCGATCTAACGGTGAAATGCCTTGGTCAGCAAGCAAGAAGTTACCTACTGTGAGCCGAATTTCAAAAAACTTTTTTATACTACTTAACTTTTGAAGTAAATAATATCTGAAAGTTTAAAGTTTGTGCTTTTATGACAGCATTTTCAACACAAATAACATGCCTAAAAGTGCCACTAGCTCCCCTACCATTACTATCAAACTCAAAAACAAAATGATATTTGCAAGCACAGAATAACCTGTGCAAGTAGAATTTGCGCATGACTAAGACCTCTTTCAGACGAGGATAATGTATGCGAGATACGCGTATCCGAGATACAGAATCGCGGTCGAAAAGTTGGAATGTTGTATCGAATTTACGCATCTCTTCAATCAGTACTAAAATAGTCATAGTGTGATGCATAGGTTTTTGAATTATGCATCTAGAAGAGTGTATTATACTGTGGTATAAGTATTAAGAAAAAAGCTGTGTGTCCTTTATCCCATAAACAGAGATTGGGCTTAGCGCTCGGCAAATATCAAAATAATTAATCGATTATTGATTATTTTCGATTAATCGATCAATCGAAATTAATCGATTTATCAAAATAATCTACTATTCGGAATATACAATTAATCGAAATAATACATAACACGAAAATAATCGATTAGTAAAAAATAATCGATTAATCGAAAATAAACGAAAATAATCGAATAAAAGAAAAAGTCGATTATTCGAATAATTTAAAATAATTAGTTAATTACAAATAATCAATTAATCTAAAATAATCCATTAATTGAAAATAATCTATCGGTCGACCATAATCAATTAGTAGAAAATAATCGATTATTAAAAATATTCAATTGAAAATAACCTATTTAAAGAAAAAAATCGATTATTTTATTATTCTAAAATAATCAATTAAATAATCGATTAATCGAAAATTATCAATCGAAATTATTCGATCATTCGATCAATGTAAAATAATCAATCGAAAATAATCAATTATTCAAAAATAATTGATTAGTCGAAAATACTCTATTTTTCAAAGAAAAAAATAATTGATTAGTCGAAAATACTCTATTTTTCAAAGAAAAAAATAATCGATTACTCGATTATTTTGTCCACCCCTAATTATGCTTCATCAATCTAATACTTTTTTAATGTTAAAAATTCTACCACTATTTCATACTGTTTAGTAATAACCTAGGCAGTTACATTTTTACTGAAAAATAACCTGCGCCTATGATATAATCTCCGTATTCAAATCTGAAAACGTCCATATATCGTTATAGTAATTCTCTATGCGACATACGCTTTCAGCCTCCAGCGGCTGAAGGTGCCGGGATACAGAAATTCCGTATCGCGATACTGTATACGTCGCCCGTACCGTGTGAATAGGTCTATTTAAATGTATGTTTAGTCTGAATCTCGGATACGTGTATCTCGCATACAGTATCCTCGTCTGATAGGTCTAATAGAGGTCAACAATAAAAGAAAAGCTCCATTGGATGTTATTATGATAGATTACTAAACCAAATTAACTCGGTGCAATTTATGTTAAAAGAACGTTGCTTGAGTTGTACTTAGGTCAATTTCCTATTTATTCAAATCAAGTTGTCTTTCAATAAAACACTTAAATTTAGTAAATCTCATTTTTTATAGGTAGAAATGCAATTCAGCGGTATTTGGTCATTACAAAATTTAGTATCGAACGAACAAAGAAATTGTGCGATATGTATTATACTGCAAGAACATTGTTACCAGATTTTTTTACGTACTGTAATCCTAGAGAGGACGGTCAGAAAATATACATGGAGAAGATAATGTAAGAATAACTAAAATGGCAGTTATTTATATTCCACAGTATGCAAAGCTCGAAATGTTTAAAAATTAGCTATAATACATTAAAAAAGAAAAATGTTTTTTACCCAATTTGTGAAACAAAACATAAAAAAATTATTTAAAAAAAAAATCCATAAAATGACCTCGAATATTGTTGGATTCTCTGTTTATTATAAAATATATTTCTACGATATTTAACTAAACAATGAATTATAGAATTCCTTGGCCATCTAGTAGTTCCGATTTTAATCCATTTGTTTTTTTATATAAAATTTGTATACAAACGCGAAGAATTGTATAAACCTATTCTTTCTCTTCTTTTGAACCCCTTTCCTTACGAGACTATCTACAATCTAGTTACCCTTTAACCCGTTATGTCCCAGAAGCCAAGTGAGAATAATTGTATTTTCCTCGCCTAGCTCATTCAGTTTTCTAGGCATTTGCAGGCCATTTTTGAGCTGATTACGTAAGAGCTCAGTGCTTTGATGGCTACGTGGCTATCGGACATCGGACATCCGTATAATACTGAATAGCATGTCTTTCGGTTGCAAGCACGATGGATTTTTGGCTCCATTTTTTTTTACAGCTCAGCTGTGGTTTTGAAGTTTTTCATAAAACTGTAATTCTTTTTTATTTTTTTTTATTTTATCCTGGGACATATCCCAAGTATTTTTGGTCCTGAAATAATAGACTTTCGTCTGACTATTCCGTTCCTGATTATTCTGTCGTGTCTTTTTTGCTACGTTCTCTATCATTAAATGTAGAGGAGTGAGGTCTACATTTTGGCTGTAGGACAGGTTCTCATTGCACCAGTGATGAAAACTCATGCTGGTGTTTGTAGTTTTGAGACTTAGCTCTCGCAGTAACTAAACTTGTTCTGTTACTACAGGCTATAGCTCCTTAAGGGATGTTTGGTCTCAATATCATTCATCGCAGTGTGTTTGGGCCCAGACTGGGGTTTGGGTTACATTCCCATCTTTTACCCGCAATGTTTTTGCATACCATTAAGGCTTTTGTAGCCTTATTTACTACTTCCTTCTCATGTTTGTTCCAGAGAAGTTTGTTGTTGTCCTGGTTTTATATATTGTCATGAAAATATGAAGGGTAGAATGATAATTAAGGAACAGTAAAAGTTTTCATTTAAAATCAATAATAAAATCACTAGACACTTTGAATATGATCAAATGAAAACAAAATTAAATTTTTCTTTAATGAGTAAAAATAAAAAGTATGGATACACACCTTAATATTTTGTGAAATTAGATCAACTCTCTTTAAATAATTTTTTTTTGACGTTGCCTGTATTGCAACGCTAGAGGAGAATTAAACAAGATGGGGAGACAAATTGAAATTTTGGGGAGACCTCAAAAAAGGAACAATTAAAAGTTTTTAAATTAAAAATTAAAGAAATTTTTGAAGATTTAATGTTGAAATGAAATTTGACTTATCCCAGAAACATATGTGACAATTAATTTCTAAGTAAGAAGTTTATTTATAAACTAAAACTGAAATAAAAACTCACCATTGAACAATTAAGAAGATCCCAAGTCGTTTAATGTTGTATTTGAGGAAAAATACACTCTGCAACACGGAATATGAATTTTCTGCTAGTGGTTGACCTTGAAGAGAATAAAACAAGATTAAAATTTATTGAAAAACTTGAACAAAACAGGTATTTATAGTACTTACGTGAAATGAACGATTATAAATATAGATAATTTGTATATTACACATGATTGAAACTTCATTATGTCTTTTGAGGTTAAAAAAGAACTTAATCTCTATATATACTTTAATTTAGGTAGTTTTTAAGAGTGATATTAGGTAGCGAAACAAATACTTGCCAAAAATTGCTCATATTTTATAGATGTCGCCAATATAAATTTGTAGGTTCCTGCACAATTTTTGGAATAGTTCGGCACTTGATAAATAGATGTCGTTACAGCCATTTAAGGTTAAATTTAATGTGTCCATATTTGAACCAATTTAAAACTGTCAGCAAAGTATTATTACTTTTTTCTACACCCGTATTATAATAATGCACTTATATGCCCATAATCCGTTTCATAATGATCCCCATTATGATACAGATTTTTCATTACGATACAGATTTTTAATCAATAGAAACCTACAATTTTTCAATCAAGCATGCTGTTTGACGTTTGTCCTAGGTTCCTATGTAATTATTTTAGTTGTCAAAACGTATTAAATTTTCGTAGGTAGCTAAACTTCGATAATTATAATATTAAAATGTCTGATATTAGCGATATAGAAGACTCCTCCACACATATCGGAGAAAGCAGAAAATACAGTACAAAATATTTTACCGCAAAAATATAGGGAAATACCAATACCTGAAGTAATACCATTAATTACAATTTTGTAGAATTTTTTATAGAAATACGAGTAATTACTGTTATTGTGTTCAATACCAATATAAATATAATATTTATAGGTCTTGATTATTTATCGGGTGTAGAAAAAATAGCGTATGCAACTCTCATGTAATGGTTATTAAAACACTCGCATAAACCATACGAAACTCGCCTTTGGCTCGTTTCGTATCCCGGTTAATGCTCGTGTATTAATAACCATCATTACATGATCGTTGCATAATATACTATTTTACAGTTTCAAAAAGGATTTGACAAATTTCAAATTAATTCTTAACTTTATTTCGATTTATTTATTTATTTGTATCCTTGTTATAATAATAAAAAAATATATGAAAATAAGTCAAACTTCTATTCAATGTCAGAGTTTTCTTTTGTATTGTTAATAGTAAGGGGAGAAAATAGAAAATAGTTAATTTCGTTATATCATATTTTCTTTTAACATTTTTTTTTATCAGCCTACTCCGAAGCCTTAAACAACATTCACGGTATTGCCCCACTGGTTGCGTAATATTGCAACACTGGGTTGGGCAATACCGTGAAATGAATATGTTGCATAATTTGAAAATTCTCCAGTATTTTACTTAAATAACATATATACCATCATATACTAGAGATCTTTGAGACATATTTCACAAAGTGCCAACGGCTTATTATAAAAAATGGAAAATTGGGAATTAATTTCCCTTAGATGCGTGGTATTACCCCACTTTCCCCTAATGAACAAGCCTAACTTTGTAAATTTATTTATTAACAAATAATGAAACAATAAATTCATATGATTAATATAATTAAATGCTCACTCTAAACCGATACTGAGAGTAGAGTCAGTCATCTTAACTCTTAACTCGGACAAAATATTGAAGAAGGTGATTCCTTCCTGTTCACGTACAACAATCATACTACGCCAGAGAATAATGAATGGAATCACGCGCTTAAAACTGCAGAAGTTGTCGGTTTCACGTGCCAACTAGTCATAAATGCATTTTTATTGCTGAAATGTATTACGCCAGTGGCGTATAAAAACTATTGTCAAATTAAATGCGGTAATAGTAAATAACACTATATGAAAGTAGGTTGGTTATCTAGTTTTGTAGTAATAATTATTTATGTTTATAATTTTGTTTTGTTTATTGTTAAAATATGAAAATATTATGCCAGTGGCGTAGAAAAACTATTGGAAAATTAAATGGGGTATTATACTAGAACAAAATATTAAAGACGGTGCGCCTCAAAACTGCAAAAGATATCGTTATCATATCAAAATGCACTCTTCCAGTAGCGCAGAAATAATAAATTGGCCAATTAAATAGGTTATTGTGAATATTACTAGATGAAAGAAGGTTGGTTATCTATTTTTGTTATAATAATTCATCTATGTTTATAATTGTATTTTGTTTATTATACAAATATGTAAATTAAGCTTGGTATCACTTACTTGAATTCTAAATCTATGAACTTTCGTAATCCATTGATTCTGCAGAACTATCACTGGAATCGTCTGTATCGTCGGAACTAAAAGTTATGACTAAAGGTTCAACTACCGTTTCGATAATACCGTCCAAGCGCCACATATTATTTTCTTCCTTAATTACATGGGAAATAGCATTCTGCCATTCTTCAGGTTTTATACGTTCTATACCGGTTTTTAATAAACTTTAAACGTCGGCTATTTTAAAAGTTTTATTTTCTCGAGCTACAAACCCTTTCACTTGCGCCCAAATTAGTTCAATAAGATTGAATTCGCAGTGATAAGAGGAAAGCCTTAGTACCGTAATACCACGATCACGAGCCATTGTGTCGACAGCATATTGAATATATTTCTGGCGGAGTTCCTTTATTAGGTCCATTAATTCCACTTTAAGCATCTCTTCAGTAAATGTTATTGCTTTATCCCGCAGCCAGGTTTGCATATCCGCTTTCCTACTGGACATTATCGGAATGCGTTCAACTCGTCGACTGTGATAGGAAGCGTTATCTAGTAAAATAACTGAATTTCGTTCTATACGCTGTAATACTTCAGCAAACCATTTTTAAAAGCATTCCGCATTCATGTCCTCGTGGTAGTCTCCTGTTTTTTTTGATATATACACAAGAGCGCTAGTTTCTAAAAATCCATTGTCACTTCCGATATGGGTAACAATTAGGCTCTGTCCTTTACATGATGGTGCTTTCAAACTTGTAGATAATCCCTCTATAAAAGCTTGGCGATAACTAGTTACAGAAGTATCTTGCCATATCTTAGATACCGTATGTCCAGCATTCACCCACGTTTCATCGAGATAGTATATCTTTTTTTTAGCGGCTCTAAACTCTTTAATATTTCGTAAATAACGCCGTCGCCAGGACACTATATCTGACCTTTTAATTAAAATTGATTTCCTACACCGTTTGACAAAACGAAATCTTAGGCCCCATAAAATTTTTCGTAAAGTTTCACGGCTCATTAATGGAATTTCTTAAGTGTTTTCGAAAAAAAAAAAAAGAATGTACAGTTCTTCGAATGATTTGTTTTTTGTAATCGTCCAATTTCAACAATTTTCGATCACGGGTATGCGTTTTAGGGGCTTCTAAGGAGCGGTTTACAGCTTAATTTGTAGGAAGTGTCTGTTTCAGCCCATCACACACTTTCCATATAATGTTTTTTTCATCCTTTGATAAGGGCTTTCGCCGACGTAATTGAGTTTCACTTAGACCCGCCTCTAAATCCATTACTATTGTAACAATATTATTCTACTATTAAATCGTTTTTATTAAATTTATAAAGACACCAATATTTTACTATTTAATAAACTTTTAAAGTACCTACCTAATATGCTACACAATAAATATAACTCCTCGAATATGCACTACCACTACCAAATTGTAAGGCACAAACATGAACACCTACTCGTATATCAAAAAAGAGCACTTATACAAAAAAGTGTGTATAAAATATAAAATAATTATCGTAAATAGTTAAAGCGATACAAATCTAACTTCGTCGAAAATTAATTTTTTAACTGTCTTTGTGTCTGTGCTGACAATATTCAATCTGTAACCCATCTGTCGTTTATTTACTTGAAACACATTTTAAAACCATTAAACACAGATAACGATGTCATTAGGGAATAAATATATTTATTTCTTGAAAAGTATCAAAAATGTATATTTATTTAACGCATCATCTTTGTTTAAATAAAGATGTTGACAAACAAATTTAATAAAGTTTACTAACAAATACCTAATAAATAATAAATAATTATTTGGTATTTGATACGCCGCCCGCCTATGCTGACTCCGTCGGAATTTTCATTCATAGACAACAGAGTTGATCATGCATATGACTCACCTTCTCCAATATTTTGTCCGAGTATAGCCGGAGCAACAACCTAGATAAAAAAGTAAGTATAATTAACCATACTATTTATTTATTATCGACATGATAAATCGATATAAATAAAATAAACTATAATTTCATAATACCCTCATCAATATATTATCATGACAACATATATCCAATAATCCTTCTTCCATGTATGTAATGATACCCAAGAAGAGACTAACTTCGTTATTTTTCCAGATGTTGCTCTCTTGATTTCTATTTTCAAGCATAATTTTATATTTTTTTACCTCTCTTATCATTCGATTATCTTTTATTAATCCTTGACAAATTTTGTGAATAGTGCGCATCAATAAAGTTGTTTCAATTTTTGTAATACTCTTAGTTTCTGTCTTATGGAACTTTCTGGATATCGAGAAACCATATGTCTTAGGGACGTTAAGACAGCCGGTCATCATTGTGTCCATAGAATTTAGCGTCAAATATTGCAGACTACTTTATAGAAACATTCCTCATACATACATACATACATACATACATACATACATACATACATACATACATACATACATACATACATACATACATACATACATACATACATACATACATACATACATACATACATACATACATACATACATACATACATACATACATACATACATACATACATACATACATACATACATACATACATACATACATACATACATACATACATACATACATACATACATACATACATACATACATACATACATACAGATATACAGGGTGTCAATTTGAAAACTTTCAATGCGAATATCTCGCAAAATAAAGAAGTTGGAGAAATGCCGTTTGGCACAAATGTTATAGGGTTAGGAGGAACTAGCACCACCATATTTCAGTGAAGGGGTGAGTCACCCCTTAGGCGCGATACACCCCAACTTTAAAATATCAAATGGCACTACCCCTTTTGTTATACCTCAAAGGAAAGGTCTCATTTAGTAGTATTTACCTGTACAAGAATGTTTTTCCATTCAATAAGGGTGTAACAAAAACATGAATTCGAATAAAATAAACTGTGTTTTGTTAAAATGGTACTTTATTTGATCAGATAATTTAAAATGCATTCTATTTATTTCTAAACGATAGTACAATCGATTTTCAAACTTCGTTATTGTTATTAAGATGATATTTTATTTTATTAGAGGGTCAACATGCATTCCATTTTTTTTGTAAACAAAAAAAACTTCAAATTCCATTCTAAAATTTTGGAGCACTTATCTGAGAATAAAAAATAGCATTGAATTTATCGGGTACGTACCTACCTACCTACCTACCTATCAATGTTTGTATAAAATTTAGTCGTTTGTGCAAGGTTGTACTGCAAAGTCAGAACTGTCTAATTGAAGAAATACGAGTATAATTTTTATTTTCTGTTCATCATGGTCTACAGTTTGGCTGAAAGAATTTAGATGGTGTTTATTTATGGTTCAGAAAATCGTTGTGCCTTAAGAACTGCTGCAACATTTAACGAAATAAACCCCGGAACAAATGTAAGTCATACTTACATCAGACAACCGATTAATAAATTTGAAAAAAAAGGATCAGTGGCAAACAAAAAAGGGTCCATCAAAGAGTACAAGTGGAAGTTTTAGGACATTTTGCTATGAATCCTACAATATCTCTACGCCAAGTTTCGGCGATAACGGAATTTCTCATGAAGCTGTTCGTCGGGTACTCAAACTTCATAAGTTTTACCCGTACAAAATGTATATTCTTCAGGAGTTGCAGGAGGATGACCCCGATCGAAGAATGCAATTTTGCGAGGACATGACCGAAGTGTTACGTGTTACTCCACAGTTGCTAAAAAATATTTGTTTTAGCGACGAATGCACGTTCCATTTAAACGGTTCAGTGAACAAACACAACTGCAGGTATTGGAGTGACGAAAATCCGCATTTCTTGAGGGAAGGGCACACGCAGTATTCAGAAAAAATAAATGTCTGGGCGTAAATTTTAGGCGACACTGTGATTGGGCCGTTATTTATTAATGGCAATCTTAATGACGATACTTACTTGAAAATGTTAGACACCACCATTCAACCTCTCATTGTTGAAGAAATTGAAAATCAGCTAGACATTGACGGAAACAGGAATTTGAATGAAAATTTAATACATTTTCAGCAAGACAGAGCACCACCCCACTACGTTTTTCCAGTCAGGCAATTTTTGAATGACGCTTTTCCAGGTCAATGAATTGGACGGAGAGGTCCAATCGAATGGCCGGCGAGATCTCCCGATCTAACACCTCTTGACTTTTTTCTTTGAGGACATTTGAAATCCATCGTATTTATAACAAAACCGGATTCAATACAAGATCTTCGGCAACGAATTATTACGGAATGCAGCAATATTTCAAGAGAAGTGTTCCACAATGTAAGAACAGAATTTGAAAATCGACTATACTATTGTTTAGCACAAAATGGAATGCATTTTGAACATCTAATCAAATAGAATATCATTACATTTTTTTATTCGAATGTTTTGTTTTTGTTACCCCCTGTATTGAATGAAAACAAAAATTCTTGTACAGGTGAATACTACTAAATGAAACCTTTCATTTGAGGTATCACAAAAGGGGTAGTGCCATTTGACATTTTAACGTTGGGGTGTGTCGCGTCTAAGGGGTGACACCCGCTCACTTAAAAATGGTGGTTCTAGTTCCCCATAACTCTATAACATTTCTGTCAAACGGCGTTTTTCCAACTTTTTTATTTTGGGAGATATTCGCACTGAAAGTTTTCAAATTGACACTGTAGTGTAACCAACTGAAATAAAGAGAGACAACTTAACTAATATCTCTCTCTCTCTCTCTCTCTCTCTCTCTCTCTCTCTCTCTCTCTCTCTCTCTCTCTCTCTCTCTCTCTCTCTCTCTCTCTCTCTCTCTCTCTCTCTCTCTTTAAAAGTATGATAAATAAAGTGGCGGCGTGATCGACTATGAAGTGATTAGGACACCACGAGTGACAGACTGAAAGATTCGTTATCTATTGGCTACTTACGTGTTATTGAGGGAGTGGTAAAGGTTAAAAGAAAACATCTATTGATTTATATCTAATCTTTATTGAAAATATTATAGATGACAGAATCAGAATGTAAAAATTTATAAGTATATAAAATATATTTATAAAGATTAAATATAGGTCTGGTTCGGTGCAATAAAAAAAATAATTAATTTATCAAATGAGGGGAAAGAACCAGCAAGAAAACCCCAAAGTTATAATAAATACAATAAAACCAATCAAATGTCAATTTGGATACAAATGACAAATTAAGTATATATATATAAAAAAAACCATTTAGTTACTCGATGATTTAGTTAAACACAGAAAAATATATGAAAAAAAATATTCAATTTGAGTTAAACACAGGAAAATATATGCAATAATATTTAATACATTATATATAAAAAAAAACAATATCTAATACTGCAAGGCAAAAATAAAATAAATATTTTAAAAACAATAACTCATCAGATAACAAACATTGAGCATTACTAGGTTCAAACACACTCGATGCAAAACTGAAGAAGGGTTAGTAGGGACAAGGTAATGGGGAAGCTCTACAGCTTTACTACCCACCTAAAGTTGAATATTCTGGTGACAAAATAGGGTAAGTTACCGAGACACCTATCCCGATGTTGTCCCAGCCACGGGCGAAAATGTTAGTATCAATCAACAAGGCATTTCATACTTTTAACTTAGATCTGCCAATGCTGTGAATATCTGATGTTAGAAAAACACATAATTTACTAATATAATATTATTTTTCCCTTGCTGAACTTTAAAAATGACAAAAAAAAATAATCTCAAAGTCAAATCAAAATTATAGCAAATTTTCCTTAGTATAACTATAAAATATCAATAAACTTCAAAAATATTTAAATTAAAATATTAAAAGGATGCTATTTTTCACTGATTTAGATAGTAAAATAAGTAATAAAATCAAATAAACTCGTTATTGGAATGCAAGCAGTTTTTTTATGACAGATACAAAAAATGCTGTCAAGAAAAAGCATGAAATTTCTTATAACAGTAAAATTCAAATCTAAATAGTGAACCATCAACTAGTTAAATAATATAAAAGTAATTGAAACATAATAATTGACTTAAAAAGGCACTTACATTTTTATCACAAATAAAACTAACAAAACCTACACCTTTTTTAACAATCACCGACATTCCATTCTCTCCACGTTCAAAATCTGACATTCAATAAAAAATTCCCGTTCCTATGCGATGATTCCCTGCTTCTATTCCAGCGCATACACGACTTTGGTTCCATTCAACGGGGACGGAATTAAATACGATCCCTTTCAACACCCTGTATATTTGTTTATTATTTTAGGTATTATTTTCCTCTTTCAAAGCTTACTAAAGATTTTTATCGAGTAAACATTGTAAAATACAGAGATTTTGATTATCCTGATTACAACCTATTAAGATATTTGGCACTTGTACAAATCATTTTTGAGATAATGATACAAGAAGAATTAAGCATGGGAGATATCATCGTTATTGATTTAAAATATGTAAACAAAACTCATGTTCTAAAAACTACTCCGACCCAAATGAAGATGTCAAACTTTTTTTTAGAGGTGAATAAATTATATTTGTTTAATCTTTAATTATATTCGAAATCAATTAATACAATTTTTTTAAAGTTTAAGCTTTAAGCGCTTTAAGCTACATAAGAATATGTTTCAGCAACTATGGGCAAACAGGGTCAAGGCTATTCACTTTATCAATGTTCCAACTTATGCTGAAATGTTAATTTCATTAGCTAAAACTGTAGTGAAGAAAAAAATTAAGGAAAGAGTAAGTATTTATATACTAGGTAGATAATACATTTGCCACATTTTCAGATCTGGAAGACGAAAATTGTGCTCTTAGCTTAAAAATTATATTTACTTGCTTAGGTACATACACAACTAGAATATCATGTATTTTTTCACTCTTTCAGGCATCCCTCTGCTCCCCCAATCAGGCTTGGATTCAGCCACTACGCCCTTCCATCAGATTTGGGGTCTAGCCTGCTTTGCCTGCTCTTGGGGTTAGCATGGCGGCACCGAAGCGTAAATAGTTTATTGTGCCACCATTTGGATGCCCTACACCTTTCCGTTCATCATACATTCATTCATCGTCATTCGTTCCACGTCGTCGATAGTTATTCGCTAGTCGGCTATCGATGATTAACCGCTAGTCGGCTAAGTCTAGTGGTCACACTTGTGCACAATGTGATCGGAGACATCACGGCTCAACTGTCGTGAGAACATGAATGCACGCGGCTAGCTTCTTTAGCTTAATTCATCTTCAGTGTATTTAAACTTACCTTATGTACATCACTACATTCATACCGTAAAAATAAAGCTCTGACATCGAACATTTAAATTATATTATTTTATTTCATGATAAATACTCTTTTTGATTCTTCCAAAATGATTAAATTAATAACATCCCCTAATTGAACAGATAAAAAATTCAATAAACACACAAGAAAGAAATTAAAATAATTAAATAATGAAACTTTAAGTAATCTTAATTAAAGATAGTCATTTTAGACCGATATCCTTTATGACATTTTGTTCACATGAAGCAAAACAACGCTCTCGGGAAAAATTATGGTCACACTCCTATCAAGCGAGTGGTAATGAATAAATTGTTACTATACATTTTTTTTAATAATTGTACCTGGATCGATATCGTAGAAGGATTTGACGCCGATTAGTATGCTATGGACGTACGAATTTTTATCTAGATTTTTACATGCGAGCATGTAGAGATTAGGTAACGGCCGTTTATCGTACTACTTTTTATGACATCCTGCAATTTACTACGTTTTTTAACCTAAAATCAAATTCGAGAGGCGCTAAAATGGTGGTTCCCACCTTATCGAGACGAAAAACGATTTAACTTGGAACGAAGTGCCGAAAGCTGATAGTAGTATTAGCACGTTGAATTTTTTGGTTTGTGAAGCATTGGCATTACTAAGGCTAAACCATGTGAGGATTTTCGCAAGCCTTGATTTTTAAAACCATTCTATATCGCCTTTTGATTAGGGTTTAAAAACTTGTTCGAGCAATTTATCCAATAATAATATAATTACTAAGAACTTCTTTGTACTTACAACTCATTTGTTCATGGCATTATTTCCCTAAACAAAATTGACAGAGCCATGCACATCTACTTTGAGGGACTAAATTTACAGTATTTTAAAGTATTGATTGATATCATGAACAAGGACATTAACGAGAAAAATCAAATTTGGATTCATTATCTCTATAAAACTGTTCCACACAAATTTGAAGAAATAAATATGACGTGGAATATTGTTGACATGATTGAAACAATTTTGTCAGAGTTAGTTTTACACACACGAACCAAAATATGTACAAATTGCTCAAATAATATTAAGGATTTCATTAAAGTTGCTACAGTATCAATAAATAATCTCCAAACACTTCATACCGAAGATGCCAAATTTTTTGAACCAACTATTAACAAAATGTGCTGTACTTGTAATACAAGAAATCTTAATATCGTAAATACTCCAGGAGACTTACTTTTTATTCGCGTTTACCGAACTGGACTTCAGCAATATTTTACTAATCTAACATTACAAGAAATACCCAAAGAACTGATTATAAATGAAACTTCATATTACTTTAAGTTTTTAATAAAATTTGTACCTCCATTAATAGGTACAATTGGACATTTTATTTGTCACGTACCAACTAAGGAAGGCTTTTGCGTCATTGATGATCTTTCGTACACAGAAAAAATCACGAAACCAAGTCCCAAAATAAAAAATCCTAACGTTATTGTCTACTCGAAAATTGGAACATACAACGGCTTTAAAGATTATAAAATTATTCAAACAAACTGGCAAACAACAGATTTCATTCCCAAAATCAAACAAACTGAACCGAAAACATACAAAATAGAGCAACTCAAACATCAGAAGAAAGAACATTCTGTTTTAATGAAAAAGATAGAACAGTTACCTTGATTAACCCTTCTCCTGACCTTGATCCCAAGTTTAAATTTCTCCTTGAATGATACCAATTTTGCACCGTTCTGTAAGTAGGATTTTTACTTCCACTGGCTAAAATCAATACCACATGCTTATCAAATTCATAAACTTTCTTTGCTTCTGTTATTGTCATACTCAAGATCATACTATCATTCAAATATTCATAAACAAATCATTATTTACATATGGCTTGGCTTGAAGAAGTCGAAGTGTCTCAGCTGTTTCAAGAGTATGATTATGTTTAGTATGTATCGAATTATAAATTGCAATCCTTTCTGAAATAATACCAAATTACAAAATTTCAAAGAGAAATAATTAATTACATGTACCAAAAACAAGACGAGTATGTAAAATTTGATTTTAATATTAAACTTTAGGTATATTTAAAGTTCTATCCTATTATTTACCTTAATAAATGGATCTTTTAATCTTGTTGGTTTAGAAGTCCTAAAATCCACTGAATATTTATTTGTTTGTTTGTTTGTTTGTTAGTGTCATCCAAAGTTTTAAGGTTGCTTCGAATGTATCATTTTTTAAAATCACGTTTTCAAATTCAGTTAGCAGACATCTCAAAAGGTTCAAAATATGAAAATCACAGTAAAACCGTCACTCACTTAACCTTAGAGGGCCCCACTCGCTTCGTTCTTCTCCGCTGTTTTTACCTGACGGTTAAAAACGTTGGAAGGAAGAACGTTGACTGATATGTCCACACACAACAGTTTTTTTCACGCCAGTTTATCACGATGGACTGTACGTGCTTGTTAGCAGTGGCAGCGGTTTTGGCAGTGGAAAAAAATCGAGAAAAAAGAAAATCTCGAAGAAAATGGACTAAAGACTGGCTACTTAAACGCAGTCCACTGTCATATACAAATTTACTGGAGGAACTAAGATTGGAGCCTGGCGATTGGCACAATTACTTGAGGATGGACGAGGATACGTATCGGAAACTGTTAAAACTAGTAACACTGTTAATTGAGAGACATAATACCCATTTACGTGATTGCATAAGTCCTCACGAATGCCTAACAGCTACCCACTTTTTTGTATTTCACCAGTAATGCTTCATAAGCCTTGTTTTTCTTGATTCGGTCATGGTATTCCGCCGATTTAACTTTCCACACGCAAGGAAATTATCTATAAAGCTCTATAAACTCTAATAAAAAGTCTCTGTTCCACTGCCTAATGTCCGACATTTTTATTATAACCAGTTGTAAATAATAATAAACAACAAAAACATGCTCAACGTCACTGCCACTGATAAATGCCCGACCAGTCAAACTGTTGAGAACACACACCTCGTGTTTACTCTAACGGTTGGCACGATAACAGACAAAAATCAAGCATCGCCTGAAATTTTGGAACGACGTGCATGAACGACGTTCTTGCCCATACACCTCGTTTTTGTGACATTTTTACTCCGACGTTTTTAACCGTCGGTTAAAAACGGCGGAGAAGAACGAGGTGAGTGGGGCCCTTAAAACAATCAAATGCGTACCGATTCGATTAACCAGAAAAAATTATATTATTGACTTGTGTAATTATTTTTAAATTACATACACATTACATGTGTTAAAAATTGTTAAAAATAAATATCAAAAGAAGGATATAAACATTTTTAAATAATTTGACATTTAAGAACAATTCACACATCACAGTTCAGTTGACAACTTGATACTTGACATTGACAGGCACAGCCATGCGAAATAAAATAACCGGTTAATTTTTTATGGGGTTGCAACAGATCCAGTGTCACTGTGGCTAGGAGCAAAATAGTAGTAAGCTTAAGTTAGTAGCACCATAAAAAAATCATTTTTAAGAAACCGCTTGTATAACTGCTTGTATGTTTCTCATAAATAGGCAGGCTTGACGACTAATACTTAGAAATCTCACCTTTACAATCAACAGTTATTTGACAGGTCGCTGGAATTTTAGGAATCTTAGGAATTTAGACGTGGAATGTTTGGAATGTATAAATTAGTCGCATAAGGATTACTCAGGCGGATTTAAGAACATTGATATTAAAGTAGTTAGGATGAACCATAAATTCTGAAAATCAATAGGGTTCTAAGTTAGAAGCAATTATTTAAGAAAATCAAAACCGCAAGTCAATCAAAACTTTCGTTCTCGAGTTATCGTGCCGGCATACATACATACAGACGACCAGACGACAATTTTTTTTTTTGCATTTTCGGAAACGTGAAAAAAAGTTTAAAAAAATGGGGGTAAGAAAATTTTTTCGTCTGCACGAATGCAATACTGAAGCCCCATGGGAAGGGCCTCAGTAATTTTATCATTTAAAACTATTATTACAAGTTTATAAATGTGACTTAACATAGTGACAGTTTAGTTACAACTGAAAATTCAGACACAACTGTTGTTTAAATTTTTACCGGGCTAACCCATTGTGACTCCCATAACAACCATTAATAGAGGTTGGTAAACACGGTATAACATTACAGTGTATCATAAAACCTAAAATTTTTCAATTTTTTCAATTAAAATAAATGTCATGCCAAACAAATAAAATCACAGAGGCTCAATTATTACTACTTGATACGTAAAGCGTAACTGTATTAAAATCACATGATGACAACATACAAATATCAGCTATGGAATCCATTTAACATGCCCTTAAATCACTTTAAATTGGAGTGTAGCTTTATCTTTTTCGATTTTATTTTCTCGCTCTGACGGTCCTCTCTTATTTTATCTACTCTTTGTACCTATAATCTGTTAGCGTTGTTACCTTGGTACTCGTTCTTAAGATTTTTTCTCTTAGGCTATAATTTTAAAACTGTTTTGAATAAAATATTTTAATTAGACTTATCTGCATTTTTTGTAGCTGTTTGTCCATGCTTCTAACGAACAATTGTTTGAACATGTACCAAGGGAATTTTTACCAAAGGATTACGGTGGTGGAGAAAGATCTCTAGATGAACTAAACGGTAAGGACTATTACTTATAGAGAAAACATTAACCACAGTATATAATATGATTTTTATAAAATTTGATTGTACAAATTAAGATCTTACAAATAGGATATCTTAATTTCAACGTCAGCTACAGACTTACTGAGTATTCCCCATCTTATTCGTCACTTAAGCGACACCAACATCTTGTACCCTTGAACATAAACATTTCCAATCCTAATTTTTGCAATTCTACAACACGAATAACTATATATTTTTGATTGTTTGTACTGTTGGTATGTTTAAATAAAATAGACACGTACATAGTTATATGTTGTTCAAAATATTCACACATACAGAGCGGTGCATAATTATGTAATACAAACTATTTAAAAATTAGAGCCATAAGTAAAATGTTACAGTATGATGACTGTGATTTTTGAATTAAAAAAAGCTCTAATTTTATGGTGTCGGGACATTTGCCCAGTTTTTTTTCAGGTACATTTTGATCCGGCAACGTTGCACTTGAGGTGGGATGGTACCAAACCACCCCAAAGCATCGGAGAGATGCGCACGCATAGTCGTACGATAGATAGGATCCAAAAATATAGGATCACTTAGTATTGGCAAAGGAAATTTTAGAAGTAGGGGATAAAAACAATAATTTATTTAGATATTATGACAATAAAAAAAGTAACTGTAAATACAAGTGAATAAAAATAAATAAATAAAATTACCTTCAAAAAAATAAAGAAAAATCGAATCTTCGAATAGACGAAGTGTGAATTCTTGCATTTCAAGTATCAAGTTTCAGAATAAAATACTTGTACAAATTAATATGAAAAGTTAAGTAAAATTTTCCTTTAAACGTTCCAGTTTTTATTTTAAAGAGTGATAAAGTAAAGTCCATAAACACAAAATTTTCTAAATATCTATCCTTACGGTAAATATTTTAACTTACAAATATGATATGTTAGTTAATCGTCATTATTAGTTAACACACTTTATTTTTATAAATTACGATAATCCATTGGCGTAGAATCAAGGGTTTTAAAATCAATATTTATCCAACCCTTTTGGACACCCTATATTTCATAAGAGTTAAAATTAGTAATATTACATTACTGAGACTATTCGGTTTAAGTCCAACTCAAACATGAGATCCATGCACAATTTTATCAAGAGAAGATTTCATAAAAAATATTAAAAATTCCATTAGTAAATGGTCCCATTAGTAAAATTTTTTGCATTTTTTAATGTAGATATTTCATGTTTGAGTGGGATTAAAACTAAAATATCCTGAAAATGGAATGTTCTACAGAGATCAACCAAGAGTCCATTTTTTGTAAGAAATTGCGTGAGGAATATTTATTAATTTCAGCTTTTATGAAATACTTAAGTACCTATAGGGTGTTCAAAAAGTTTGAATTAAAATTGTGTTCTCAGGCCTTATTTATTTAAAACATTTATTCACCTGTTAAATATTTAAAATATATACAACATTACATAAAATAACAGAACACTCTTCCTATCAGAAATGTGCCGGCCTTGCAGGTACCCGCTGGGCCAATGGCGATATCTTCACCTATAGTATGCATTGTTGCTTATTAATTATGAATTTGGCTAGATATAGCAGCCCTTACTTCTTACCAGGGAGGCATAATTAAGGAATTAAGGGTGCCTTGAAGTCAGTAATTGTAATAGTTTGTAGATTTGTCTTGTGTTGGTTATCTTTATTGTCCAATGGGTATCGTATTTTCTCGAATTAGAGTGTCAACTAATAATGACGATTAACTTACATACATATATTTTTGAGTTAAAGTCTTTACAGTAAGGAAAGATATTTAGCAAATTAGGTATTTAATAAATTCACTTTATCACCCTGTAGAATGAAAACTTGGAAGTTTACAGGTAAATTATATTTAGCTTTTCCAAATAATTAGTTAAAATCTATAAATCCCCAGTTTACAGTATTTTCTTAAACACGCTATACGTAAAAATAATAAAATTTTACAAAAAGTTTCATGCATTTACTTACTTATTATTTGCAAATGGTAGGTAATACCGGTAATTTTTCAGACGCAAATAGAAATTTTAAATAAAAATTCTGTTTTTTTTAAGCACTGTATTTAAAAATAAAGATGAGATGTATTTATTTGCATTTTATGTAAATATGTAACCGTAATGGGGTAAAAAATAAGTTAATTATTCGAGATATTTAAAAAAAAATTATTAAATATTTGTAAATAATGGCATTTTAGGTAAATATAAAAATTTAAAACAATATATTTTACAAAAAAATATAAAACAATATATTTAAATATTACTTAACTTAAATCATAAAAAAATATAATTTTTGTAAATAGCTTAATGTTTTTAAACATTTATTAATATTTCCGTCTTCATTAAGTTTTAATAAACAGTTTTTGATTTTATTATCTATGTATACTTTTCTTCTTTTGTTCGATAATGGTAGCCCAAACTCCTTTCGAAGTATTTCGCTGTATTGGAATTCAGCTTCAAATCGAAGAAACTTAATCAATTCATACACATTGGGGTTGTTTCTTATTCGGAGCTGTAATTTGTTATTCCATCCATCTATGACATTGTTTGTACAGTGTCTTTAATTATAGCAATTCCATATAGCTCTTGGCAACGAGTTATTTTCAAGCCATTGGTTTATGAGATAGTTGTTGTATTTTTTTTTAAATGAGCCATGATATATAACTGGAATTTTATATATCCAACCTTCTTAACTTTAATAACAATGTAAACATTGACTTTAAAACCAAAAAAGTTTTATATCTATTTGTTTTCTTTTCACAACTAGTGACATAATGAATTTTTTGTAAACCTTTATGTAACTGGTTAGATATAGTAGATCATTTTGACATTTATTGGGATTACAAAAAATATCACATCATATGTCAAAACTAGTGCACTAGCACTTCATGGCTGCAAAGTATCTCACGAAAACACTATACACATATGTCAACAATTCAACAGAGAAACTGGGATAATTTACAGTAGGTGGTAACATCTTCTAATTTACAAACATATAATACTTACTTAAACTTAACCTATTCGCCCTTAGATGACAGCACTGAAGACATTTGAAAGGTGTACTCATTTGACTATGGTGGAATTCTCCTTATAATCACTTCTATTCATTTGTTTGTTTGTTAATCTAGAACAATTCAAAGGGGGTTATTCTCTAACTTTCAGCCGAAAAGGTATAGCAACGAAAGCAACAAGCTCTGATTTGTCAACAAAGTACAATCACCAACACGACATGGGATTATGGTATTTTCTAATGCTAAAGTCTATTCACATTTCAAATACGCCCGATGTAAACAGTGACCAGCGCGTGATCAGTGCGTGCTAGCCACGTGTTTCCCAATTCTCGCAACGCTATTGGGCGGTCAAACACGAACGTGCTTCAACGCCAGATGACCGATTTGACCAGTGTTGTATTCGGCTCAGTTGGCTTTGGCTGCGTAACAGTAAATATTTTAGAGTGTAAAGCTTTGTGTTATTCTTGGTTTTGGTCGAACAAGCGTTTAGTTTTATTGCACAACGTACGTGTTGTTTGTTGTTGTTTGTTGTTATTGTTCTTATTAATTTCATTTTGCTGGACTGCTTTATTTGATAAAACTATACTATGTCCTCCACGGATACCGCGGATGAAGGTGAAAACATACCGTTTACACCTCGCAAAAAACGTCCAAAAAAGGGACATTTGGACTCCCGAACAAAAGAAATGATCCTCAATGTTTATAAATATAAAAGGCTACAGAATCCTGGGATTGTGGTTCATGAAATTAAAAGAAGAGTGGCAGATAGAACAGGGGTGTGTTGTAAAACAGTGCTTAACATCGTTAAGGAGTATAAACAAAACAGAACATTATCTGAACCAAAAAGAAAGTTGCGCTATACGCAAATCTTAGATTCCGTAAAAGATTTCGATAAAGCTGCAATAAGACGGAAAGTGCATCAATTCTTTTTTAGGAATGAGCTTCTCACAGTCGATAAAGTTTTAAAAGAGGTTAATGATGATCCAGATTTACCAAGTTTTAAAAGAACAACTTTCTGGAAACTATTAAAAAAACTTAATTTCAAACACTTTGCCCAAGTTAGAAGACAATTGTGTCATAGTATTGGACAACGCATCCTATCATTCAAGAAAAGTGGAGAAAACATGTACAACGTTATCTAGGAAAGCAGAAATTCAAAACTGGTTACTGTCAAAGAATATACACTTCGACGATCAAATGCTTAAAGTAGAACTGCTTGCCCTTGTTAAACAGCACAAAAAGCAGTATGACAAATTAATAATAGACGAAATGGCTAAACAACATAATAAAACAGTATTGCGCCTTCCACCGCACCACTGTGAGTTGAACCCAATAGAATTAATTTGGGCACATATGAAGAATTTCGTGGCCGACAGAAATGTAACTTTTAAATTTGCCGACATGAAAATTATTTTTGACGAGGCGGTATTATTAATTTCTCCAGATAAATGGCAGCACTGTATTGAACATGTACGTCAAAAGGTAGAACCAAAAATGTGGGAACTAGACAATATCATGGAGGTTATATAATATATATAATACATTTAACTAAGTCAGTAGCTATAGTCCCAAAAAACCTTTCTAAAAAAACGTTCATTTTAAAAAGTAACCCTTAAATGTACGAAAGTAAGTTGTTATGGTTTCTAATTAATAAAAAAATATAGCATATATATTAAAATGTTCACTCAGTCCAGTCCTGGTCCCGATTTTGTACAATACATATTTTAAGATTTATTAATATTAAAATACAAACAAATTGAAAAATTTATTTTTTCGCGTGGTTCACGAGCTTAATGCGGCCCTTTTCTGTTTAGGTGTTCACGTGATTCTGTTGACATCGGGCGTATTTGAAATGTGAATATAGTATAGACGATTATTTATCATTTATCATTTTGATGTTATTATAATTATAAACTATTAGAATATATTGAGGCCAATTCCAGAATCATAAGGAATCAAAAACATAATAAACAGCATACATTTGGTGACATTTTATTATTCAAGTCATAATATTTAAGACCATATTTTATTGTCTGACTTATCTACGTCCGAAAATGTCAAAACTTAAAGTGTAAACAGCAAAACGCTACTCATGTGTAACTTTTTTAAATTACATTTTTCAAATATAAACAGCACAGCAAGTAGAGAATACCAAAACGTTTGTGCTTTACACTTTTATTAGTTGTTTGTTACGTTTCTAGAGAGGCTTGTTGGGTGTTTCTAAATGCTGGTTAGAGAATAATAATAAATGGATAATATTTTAAAAAATTTCTATAGTTTCATGCATTTCGATATTTAAAGAATAATTTTTATTTGCTTGATATAGTATCATTTGTTTACAATGAAAATATCAAGTAATAAATATCTTATGTGGAAGTGGCTAAAGTACCATCCCAAAATATTTAAATTTCATAGTCATCTCCAAATATGATTTTTCTTGATTAACACATTCCAATTGATAAAATTGACTATCTCCCTAGACCAAATATCAGCGACTATTTCTCTAGAGAAATAGTCAATATTTGGTCTAGTGAAATAGTCGTCTCAAATATAATAATAATAATAATAATAATAATAATAATAATAATAATAATAAACGACTTTATTGTTTTCATAATTAATTTTGATACAGTAAAAAAATAGATTAATTAACAAAACAAAAGGCGAAGTTCAATTTTTAGGTTGGGTGAAACCCTCGCTAAAACTTGTTCTTCCACTTAACCTTAAAAGTATCGCATATTCTCTATAATAATACAACTACAAATTTTCATTTAAACCCTATCTCCGTAACTATGCTTGTTTCGAAAAAAGTAAATTTTTATAGGCAACCTTAAACCTTGGCACACTGTAAGTTTTTAAAAGATCTGGTACATCATTGTACAGTAAACATATCTGATAGGTATAACAGCGTCTAAAGATTTCAAGTCTAAAAGGTGGAGGTGAAAGTGTACCTTTATGTCTAATATTAATATTATGCACATCTGTCCTAAAAGTTATTTTTTTATGCAAATAAGAGGGAGCTTTATAAATTATTATTTTATGAAAAAGAACTGACGCATGTAAGAGTCTTCTACTAGCCATATTCAACCATTTATTTTCATTTAGTTTGTGTGAAATATGTTCTCTTCTGCGAATTCCATATATAAAGCGTAAACAAGAGTTTTGGACTTTTTGAATTTTTTGTTGATACAGACTAGATAAAAAGGGGCCGTAAAGAGTATCACCGAAATTAAATGTAGAAAGAATAAGCGACTCACATAGCATTGATTTAATATGTGTAGGTAGAGACTGCCTATGTCCATATAAAGCTTTAAGTGTAGCGTATGCATTTTTTAAAAGATGATTAATGTGTTTTTCAAATTTTAAGTTTGATTCCAATAATACTCCCAAGCTTTTAGCCTCACTTACTTTTTGTAAATTTTCGTTTTTTATAACAATATGTACACTATTATTATTATTATCAATTTCATTCAATTTGCTTTTTGTACCAAAAAGTAAGATGTTAGATTTTGAACAATTAATATTCAAACAATGATCCTCAGCATTGTTAATAAAATTATATAGATCTTTGTTTATTTTATTGCAAGCTTCGACTGTCATGTCAGGGGAAAAACTGTAATATATTTGGGTATCATCCGCATAAAAGTGTACATTACAAGACTGGAGGCTTTTAACAAGATTTGAGGTATATAGCGTAAACAAAAGAGGTCCCAGAATAGAACCCTGAGGTACTCCACATTTTAAATTCATATAATGAGAGGATTGTTCATCAACAACTACCATTTGTTTTCGACCAGAAAGGTACGATTCTAAAAGATCTACGGCGGTTTTTTGAAGTCCTAAATAGCTTAAAATTTCTAACATCAAATCATAATTAATTGTATCAAATGCTCTGGTAAAGTCAAGTAGCACCAAAATACTACATTTTCCTTGGTCCATAGCCCTTACAATGTCATCAACGATATGGAGAAGAGCTGTCGTACAACTATAATTTTTCCTAAATCCAGATTGAGTTACGGGAAGCAAAGAATAGTTATCTAAATGTTGCTTTAGTTGATTTTCTATAGCTCTTTCGAGTACTTTAGATAAAGTAGGCAAAATACTGATCGGACGCAAGTCCTTTAACTCAAGGGGATTAGATTTTTTAGGTAAGACTTTTACAATAGCTCTTTTCCATGTTTCAGGAAAAATGCTATTATTTAAACAAAAGTTAATAATATGAGTTATGTAAGGAACTATATATGGGCAACATAATTTCAAAAGTCTTAGATTGAGCCTATCTTCACCAGCAGCATTTGTGGTTATATTATTAATTGCCTGAAAAACAAATAAGTCATTTACTTCCTGAAATTTAAATTCTGAGTTTACTAATTTTTGATTTCTATACCACAATAATAACCGTTCAGGAGGTTCTTTTACAGTGAATGAATTAATAAAAAAGTCATTTATTGCATTAGCGTTTTTTAAATGTATTGGTATCGTGTTTGACTTAGTATGCGCGATGTTGTGTGCTTTTAAGGTTTTCCATAGGGTCTTACTTTTTTTATTGCTCAGCTCATACGTGAAAAAAGCTTTTTTTTCACGTCGAATAGCCGAGTTTGTATAGTTCCTCATATCCTTATAAAACTGAAGATGAACTTCTGACTTTGTTTTCCTGTACCTACTTAATGCTTTATCCCGAATTTCAATCATTTCCTTAATAGTTCCTGTTAACCAGGGAGCTCTTGGTTTAGTAACACGCGACGTAACCAAAGGTATATGTCTGTCGAATAATTCCATCAAGCAATTAATTAGAAAAGAAATTTTATCATCAGCGCCTTCCTGGTCGAAAATTCTAAAAAACGGCGTGTTATAGAGATCTCTCTGAAAATTATCATTATTAAAATATTTAAAAGATCGGTAGGTAACGACTCTAGGGACCCTTTTCTCGATATTTAATTTGACTTTACATAATGCTATATCATGATCAGCAATAATACCAGTAACTTGGATAATACCCTTCTCGGTTATTAAATCAGGTGACGCTATAATACCATTTAACAAGGTCGCTGTGTTAGCCGTAATTCTTGTGGGAGTATCCATGACTTGACTGAGACCAAAACATTCTAAGACAGATGTAATTTTCTCAACTGTAGCATCTTCTATATCTAAAAAATCTATGTTTAGGTCTCCACCACATATTATTTCATCCACCGTAGGATAAATAATACCAAGAATATCCTCAAATTCATTTATAAATAAGTTTTTATTTCCTTTAGGAGGCTTATATATCCCACCAAGAGCAACAGTTTTATTTTTTATTTTTATCTTAATCCAAAGTTGTTCTGATTCCATTCCCTGATATGAAAGTTGTTCACTGAGTATTTCATTATTTATATAAATACATAAACCTCCCCCTCTTAAACCATCACGATCATTTCTATATAAAGTATACCCTTCAATGTAAACTAAATCATTTGTTATATTTTTTGTTAACCATGTTTCACAAACAAATAATATATCAAGTTTATTTTCATATATAATTAACTTTACAGTGTGCACAGAAGGCAAAAGTGAGCGAGCGTTGAGACTTCCTATATGTAAATTATGTAGCATTTAAGTATTTCGGACGATAAGGTGTAAATAGAAATAAATACAAAACAAAAAATTAAGATAAGCAAATAGGTATTTATAAATTATAAGTTTTATGCTAATTCGAAATAAACGTTAAATGTCAATTGCACGTATGTGCTACTATTTAATCCTACTTAGAAATATTAGCTTTAAAGTCTTATAATCATTATATTTTATGCATGCATATACAAAACAAATACATTTTAATGAGAAGAGAGAAAAAATACCAAACAAGAGAAAAAACATTTGAATAATACATCGTTAATTATGATTTAAAATTTTAGCCAAGTCATCAATAGAAAAGATTTTAATTAACTTATTTTCTGCTACGGACTTCACGACCTTGATTAATATTCTGCTATTTTTGTTGTTGCTAAATTTCATTTTACATTTAACAATTTAATTCTACATAATTTTGGCAATAATAATCAATTGATTAAAGCCCTCGAGCTAAAGCTCTCGGGCTCTAATCAGATTATTTATGCCAAAAGTTATGTCTTCTCAAATTGATATTAAAATATTCCCGAGATTTAGATTCAACAAAAATAGCTGACTATTATCAAATTCTTGGTATATTACTCTTGACAAAATATTTATTTGCAGTCATGTCTGCTTCAGTTTAATATTATCATCGTTCCATTTTTCTCTTGGTGTTTTGATGATTTAAGTAACTAATAGTAAATAACGTTAAAAAATTTAACTATCTATTTATTACATTTTTGTTTTTTAGAACTCTGGAGATTAAAAATGGAGAGATATCAACCACGCTATGAGCAGTTACAAAAATTAAAAGTGAATGAAGCTCTTCGACCAGAGCCTTTGGTAAATTCTGATATTCTAGGATACTATGGAAACTTCAAGAAAATAGATTTCGATTAAGTTGATGTTAAAAAGAAACACAAAATCAGGAATAACGTATCTGTAAATAATAATTTGTTCTTCGAAAACAACATACACAAATAAATAATGCATAAATGATAGTTTCATTAGTTTAAAATCAAAAACCTAAAATTGGACAGTATCAATTTCTTTTTAACACGTTGACTGCAAACCCGAATATGCGACCATTGTATTTACAATGGTGCAACACATGCATTATATGGCGAATCATGGCTTTAACGCCATCTATCCATTAAAGGGACTTTTGTCTAAACTTATCACGTTAACAACTTGCATAGAAACCTTCCTATGCAAGCAGTTGACGTAATAAGTTGGCATGTGTCATAAGACAAATTTGTTTGTTAAGCATATTCAGAAAGTAAAAGTGCCCGCACCTTTGCATTACACTTTTACGTCATATGTAAAAATCGAGCTTGTAGAGCTTGTCTGTTTTGGTGAAAATAAATGCATTATTTAAATGATATAATAGTATATTAAAGTATAAGTGGATATAACGGTCTTTAAAACACGCGTGATTTTCGAGCACGACGGCGCAGCCGGAGTGCTCGAAATAGAGCAAGTGTTTTAAAGACCAGTTATCCAAGAATACTTTACGCTATTTTTTTTTATTGGTATACATTGAAATCCTAAATATTAGTATTATTTCTACAAAAAAAATGGAAATAAGAAATAATAACTGAAAATGGTTGAATTTGTGATGTAACATCAGTATACCTCGTTTTCATGAAAATGAGAAAAACAAAAATTTATTTTCAATCTGTCACGTAAGATTAATTGTCGCAACAGTTGTTATTGTTTAAAATGAGTTCAAATATTGAGTATTTAAATAATAAAGCAGAATCGCGCTTAATACCACAAAAATCCGAAGCGGTTTATAAAAAAGAATACGATAAATTCAACACGTGGATGGAAGAGCAAATGGTTACACATATAGATGAACGAGTTGTTCTTGCTTATCTCCAGAAAATGTCGAAACAGTATAAAGTATCGACTATGTGGACTGTCCATTCAAAATTACAAAGTATGTTGAGGATAAACAAAGGGGTCGATATAAAATCGTTCGTCAAAGTGCATGCATTCATGAAGGCAATGAACAAAAATGAGGTAGTTAAGAAGGCATATGTATTCGAGGAAGACGATTTGCGGAAGTTTTTTACAGATGCACCGGACATTACGTATTTATTTTTGAAGGTGGTTGCTATTTGTGGCATCTTTGGCTCTTGTAAAAGATGTGAATTGTGCGATTTACGCTTAGCTGATAAATAAATTTTTTGAAAAATTTCTCAGAAATATTTTATTTGACATTACAAGGCACTCCTGTCAGATCAATATTTAAAAAGTTGGCATTAAGACATCACGTTTCTCGGGTTGTTGATGTTGCCATGGTAACTTTTAAAACGCGCGTTTCTTAAAGTTCGTTTTAAACACGCTGAGGCGTACTTTAAATAAGTAAAATAGTCTACCAATAAAAAAACATTTTTAATTCGTCAGTCCTCAGATATAAATTTATTATATTCGCATATGCCTCCATATAGTCTAATAGCTGGCGAAACAAAAGTAGAGAAGACTGGGTATAAATTTCGAATTTTGAAGAAAACAAAAACGGATAAAGAAAAAAATATTAAATTTTAATCTTAAGTTTTATTCTGGCCTGAGATGAACAGGTTAGAATTTAGGCATAGTGGGAACATCTGGGGGGTACTTCCCAGCTAGCACAGACACGTGATTTTCACGTGAAATACACGTCACACTTTACGTCGAAATCATCAATTTTTGAGGTGCTGGTGACGTGATTATGACGGCAATATGTCACAGATGAAAGACGTCATAAAGCGACGTGATAAATACGTCACCAAATAACGTGTTTGGACGTCTAAAAATAACACCAGAATACTCATTTAAAAATGTTTTATTTGTAAAGAAAATGTTTATAAACCAACGTTATATAAAAAAATGTTTTATAAAAAAATGTTTTATAAAAAAATGTTTTATAATAAAATGTTTTATAAAAAAATGTTTTATAAAAAAAAGATAGGTATTGCATTCTTGTTACTGCATAAAATTTCTAAATTGAAACATAGTAAGTATACTAATCTGAACTATTACTAAATAAACATTACTTCTTAGAATATGTACTTAGAACGTATAAATTAAAAAAGATTATACAGCAGTGTCCAGATATTCAACAAATCATTCCGAGTATACATAGAAGCTTGGAGCAGCTTCAATTGTATCCTTATTAAATTTTTGTTTTACTAAAACAAAAATATAATGGTCATAACTTAATTATTTAAATAAAATTTGAGCCAAAAAATAGAGTTAGCAATGAATGAGAAAGACATAAATATACACACGCCTCGTAATGAAATCCAAATTGTTTTATGTCATTAAGCTCTCACAAAAGTGATATATTCACATACTTTCATGTAATCAAAGTATGTGGATATATTTAATGGTTCACATCCTATTATTATACGCAAACATGACAAATAAAATCAGACCTGTCAAGCGAGACATCAATGAAAAACTTAAATATGCTCCTGGCTAAAGAGTACTAAATGCTCCTAGCTAACATAAAATTTAGTTTTTCTTCATAGGATAAAAACCTAATATTTTAATTATAAATTTACGATGCTAATTTTTAAAGTGATGTAAAATTGTGAATTTTAAACCAAGTTAATCTGACTTTTTTATAATTAATGGAACGAATAAATGTTATTATTTTTACAAGGTATATATTGGTAAGAGAAAAAGTTATTTTACTCCCAAGCTCTTTTGATGGTAAAGGTGAGATTTTTGTTAATTGTGAAAAACAATTATTGACATTTGAAGAAAAAAAATGTTGTTCGGAGTAAAAGAAATGTTCTTATAACAGTGTCCCAAAAGTATGACTTATACTCATAATAAAAAATATGTTTTGCTAGACAAAGCAGTACTTACCAATAGGTATGTCATTAATAACGAATTCATCATCGTCACTTGAAAATATTCTTCTTAATGGCTTTCTTTTAGGAGGAAGAGGTTGTACCTCATATCTGATGTTATAAAAACCTTTGTTGTCTTTTGGCTAGATATTTGGTAGTTTTTTAAAATAGAATAATAATTTTATACACGGTACTTTTTTAAATAAATAAAATGGCTCCCAGAGATTGTTTACGAAATACTATAACTATAATAGGTCTCCGTAACCAACAAAAAATTAAAAATATAATATCAAGGTAGATATATAATACAAAATAATTCCATAAAACGATGTAATTAAAATCACAGTATATAAAGGTTTTAGTTATAATACATAAACCAGTCAGGTATTTTAGTTGTCTAAAGGTGAGTTTAGTAACCCTGATTTAGTTTTAAGCATTAACATGGTTAACAAGTTATCAATTTATTTCGACGTACCTTTTTATACAGAATAACATAGGCAACAACATTAACATAAATATAATAAAGATAAATAAAAATCAACCTAAAGTCGAAAATAAAATTATTACAAGTGTGAGTATAAAAAGTGAGGTTAAACTATTGTCCTAACTTTAAACTTTTAAACTTCTAAACTCATTTTTCACATATTTTTATTAATATTTGTGAGATAGCAGAGCAATTTTAAAAGCACCTACCACCTATTTTTTCCCATTTTTAAAGATTTGTCAAATCTTAGGCATGTGTATGTTTAAATTATTTTTATGAATGGTTTTGTTTTAAAATCCTTAAATTTTTGTTTATATTAATGTCTATATTAATAATTAAAACAAAATTAGTTTAGCTACAGGCACCTTTAAAATATAAAAATCACTCACCTTTAGGGTTGCCAGATATTCTACAAAAAAAAAACCAGATATCCGGACAACCACATACCAAAGATAAAAAAAAAATCAAAAAATTATATATTTTATTAAAAAATACATGAGGTCAGATCCAGAACACAAAAATCATAAAAGTGCAAATCATAAAAAAAAACAACAAAGTTATACTACTTCGTTGGTGTCATTGGGTGCCAAGGGTACAGCAACACATATAAGCGAACAGCATATAATGCGTATTGGTCATATTTTTCCGGATCAATTATATGTCCGCTCGAAATCGTTTAATTTATAAATTAGCTCATAATTAATGCCCGTTATTTCGGAAGCCACTTTCGGGTCTTCAAAAAATCTTCGGCTCGTGTTTCCATCATTTGTGTTGCCAAAATTTGCCATTGGTATATCCAACAACAAACCAGTTTTATTGCAAAATCTTTTCTGGATTTCCAGTTTTCTTTCTTTTTCAATATTTTTTTCCGTTCCTGTGTTTCTTTCTCTGTATTTCTTCACTGGCAATTTATAAGCCAAGTGAAGAATGCTTTCAAAAAGACGAATCCTCGCGTGTAGAACTGAAAGCTCAAACTCTGTAGCTTCATAAGTAATCTGGTTTTTAAAATTTTAATATTTAAGAGGTTGCACCACATATCAAACATCGGCTTGTAGATTTTGTACCAGTGGCAGCATTACAGACCTTTCCATCTACCATTGTCATAATGAACACATGTTTAACTAAAAGTTGTGTTCCATTTAAGTCCACCTCTGTTCTGTTTAGCGACTTAGCAGATTTTTTCTCCGGTTATGTTGGAATCTTATAGGTCGACAATTCCGTGGAGAAGAGGATGTTAGGTTTGCCCATACAATTTTTTCATCACAAACCAATCTGTATCTGTAACGTGTGGAGGGTGGGTTACCCCCACAGCATTTAGGCCTTATTAGGCCCATTGTGCATCCTCGTAAGCTCGTGAGCCAGCCTACAGATTTAATGTAGTTGATAACGTCGCCAAGAGGTGCTTCTCTTATATCGGCTGGTGTTAGCCGATACTCGCCGAACACAAATCTTCTAATAAATGAGTGCGTCGAGCAATCGTAAAGGATATGCTCGATGATCTCATCTACTTGTTCACACCCTCTGCAGAGTGCGGATTCTAACAGCCTTATGATATGGAGATGCTTCCGTACTTGGCAATGACCAGTCAGAATGCCTGTGCCAGGCGCAGATTCTGCCTAGTCATAGTCAAGTATTTGTTTGCT